GCAGGAATGGCGACACCGACAAATTTCATCCGATCCGAACGTGTCTAATGAACTTTCCTGAACACGGTATCGACTGAGCGCGGATACGATCTCGGAGACCAGTCCGCGAGGAACAACGATGGCGCGCAACTGGTTATGCGGATCGATCGCGGACTCGGGGATCGAGATGGTCGGTAATTAGATCATAAAGTCGCGGCAACATGATGGCCGATTTCGTAGCGACGCGACCACTGATCCCAAGCAGATGCTTGTCTATGACAAATTGCGCCCCGGGCGATCCAACGAGGCGCTGATCGATTCGCTCGCCGTGATTCCATCGTGATATTAGCGGCGTGCGAGCGACGCGTTCGCCAATTATCGCGAAATTTGCGCGCCGCCACCGGCCGCCGCCTTTCCTCTCCCGCGCGAGAGGGCGCGCGCATCCACACGAGAGCTGTTAATGGCGACGCGAACCGACGGCCGTTGTAAATCAATTTTTAATTGCGACTCGGCTTCGATCAGGCACGTTGCGAAACGTTGCTAATATCGCGAATGAAATTCGACGGGTAATACGCGTCGGTGACGGGAAACGGTTGTCTGTTTGCTTTTAATAGTCCAGTTCAAGCAGGGCGGAGTTTACCAATGCAATCGGAACGTTTGGCTTTGGAAACGTAGAAAGACAATTTTAGATTCATATTTCTTTTCCGGGGAAAATAACGCACGTGGTATAGGGTACATTCACGGACGTATTTTCGAAGTACTAACAGAGAAGTGTTAAAAATTAAGCGAAATTGCTTAGGTTTTGAGGGATCGGGCCAGTTCAAACGAATTTCGATGTCTACTCACGGTGACGACGCGACGCCGAGTTCGAATGGGCCTGCCGGGCCTGGCGACGTCGAGGAATCGAAACGAAGGCGCGTTGGTGGTAAAGGAAGACGGTCGTGTCCCTCTCCCTGGGCCACTTTAAACGTCTTTATGAGTTTCGGCTGTTAACACGACCGTGGAAACAGGTACGGCCTTTTTTCTCTCGATGCCTACTCTCCTGGTATCTGCGGGATCTCAGGTGGCTAGCGCCTGGCACGCATTCGTCAGGGACAGATAAAGTCGTGATTGGACAGGAAGTACGGCACCGTGCCGGCGAAAGAGCCGGTCACCGTGTTTCTCTTTCTTCTTCCCTCGGCTGTGCCTATGGGACTGGTTCTTGGCTCGATAAAGGTCGAATTTACTGGTTTACCTGTCGAAAACCGTGAGACATCGTTCACTTATTACAAAGGATCTCGTAGAGAATCTTGAAAAGAATCTGCTCCGTGTCGGGCTACAAATTAATTCGTCTTCCGCTTAACCTATACCGGTCAATTCGAATCGAATTGGCCATCTCGAATATGCAGCAGGTTCCGTGATATCCTAGCTAACTTGGGCGGAAACGGGAGTTTGCTTAACGAGACGTTATTTGGCCGCAGATGCGTCTAACGACTTCCTCGAAAGCCGAGGAGCCATCAAAGAATCATTTGAATCGAAGATGGCGCGATTAGCGTCGCAAAAGGGAAACAATGGCCGACTTCTATCGGGTTGTATTAAAAGGGTGGAAGGATAAGAGAAGAAAAAAGGATACCACCCTCGTAATGGGAGCAATCTGTTGGTTTCGTCGCGTATATCGGCGTCATCAGCGGCAATTTTTCATGATCGTTGGCGACCGGCTGTTCTCTGGCTGCTTTCCTGCTCATGGGCCTCGCGTGTCGAGGTAATGGTATGTACAGAAGGATAATCTAGCAGATAGGTCGTCGTAGGTGCAGCGTTGTGTGGGATCATAACGTGCAAAAGGAAATCGCCTCGCTTTAAGGTAAATGGTCGGGGAGGCAGAGCGACGTGCGTGCCCGGCCGCGTGTGAACCACCACCGGTTTCCTTTCATTCACTAAGTTTCTTCATCGCGAATGTCGCACGATTGCTACGCCCGATTATCGTTGTGCGAGCATCATCTCCGTGGAAAAAAAGGAATTCTTTCGCGGAACCGATCCGTTCGCGGTTAACGGGACGCTGTTTGTTCAATTTTTACGAGAAAAAATATTTTCCATTTTTCGTTTCTCGTTTTCTTTCGTGATACGAGTTCATTGTAAAATTATCTCGCCCCTTTAGACGCGGATCATTTGAATTATCGTAGTTTATCTTCCGAAACGATTCTTTAGGAGTTTAACACTAGAACTACCAACCCAGTCAAAATGACTGGTCCCAGAATTTTCCTTTTTGCAATCACCGAACACGTACACCTGCTTTAAGAATAAAATTGGTATCAACTGATATTAAGAAAGAACTGTAATCGATATATCCACTCATATTCATCGTTATCGCTGAAGTTACTATAATCTGTGCACGTTATGGTTACGTGCCCACTAAGGATCGGTAGTTTTAGTGTTAATGGATTTCGAACAGTAGAATCTCTCGAAACCTATGGGAGATTTCGAGGGACACGATTTTGATTGGAAAAATGCATAGATTTGCAGAAATTCTTGCTCGTGCGTTATAACAAGTTAATAATAACGAAATCCGGAACGCGGTTACCTCGCGAAAGACCGGAGCCGTGATTAATCGTGGAATCGGCATTGTCGGTACGGGAGAAATTGTTTTCGATTAGAATTTTATGAGCGCGCCCCCGTTGTTTCGTTTTATTGTTTGCAAAGCGCGAAATGTAGTTCAGGAGATCGGCCGTGTGCCCGATTGAAACGCGAACAATTCACGCGCCTCGGGAATTCGTTGCGATTCACCGCGTGTCTTTCACTCGCTCGGCGAATTAATATCGCGGTGGAATTGCGTTCGCTCTGGTTGGACATTGTGCGGTTTAAAACGCGAAGGAAAAAGGAAAAAGGAAAAATGAAAAATAAAGACACTCGAGGGAAAGAATGAAACTCGTGCGGGAAAATCGAAGACGATTCAACGATCGGCAAGTTCATCAGAGATAACCGTGTTTGGCCGGGATTGAACTCTCGAATATCGGGAATCATACGTAACGAAGTGTATTAAAATGCACCGTGCGTTCCGACGAACGAAATTCGATGAAATACGCTTCCGCGAGTTTTTATCGAAAATTTAAATACCGGACGAACAAACGAAAGCGGTCATTTTAATCTGGAAGTTATTCCAACGTTCCATTTCAGCGTCAATATTCTGATTCGATAACGGTAAAAAATCGTATTGACGGTTTCCGATAATTCGATGTTTTACACCGGGATTATTAACAATTCGACCGCAACAGACTGTGCCACGCGAAAATATCCATCGCGTTGGAAAAACGCTATCCGCTTCGTCGTGCTGGATAATAAAAGCTTTTTCCCCGGTCCTGAACGGCGAAAGGAATTTTCCCCTAGGAGATTCCCTAGAGGAACTAGGGGCTCGCGTGACGCGTCGTCTGAAGTTGGCGCGCGTGAGACAACGGAGGCCGCGAATTGGCTCGCGAGCGCGCCACTTATCATAATGCTTGCTTAATGCTCGTCGCGAGGACGCGCTCTCGCGCGTAACCGCCTCGCGGAGGAACGCCCGTGGGACCAACGAGACTTCCCTCTCGCGATTCGTCGACGTGCATGTGCGAGCGCATCGAGAACATTCCCACAAATTGGCAGCGACCTGGTCGAATCTGGAGTGGGGAAAAAAATGGTGGAAAAGAGGAAAAGATACAGAAAATAACGACGATAATACGCGGAGAGCCAGGATGCGTTTGTTAGCTTTGCCGTTTGGCCGGAAAACGCCGTGGGATTCCGCGGATCGCCAAAGGGTGACACAGCGACCATCGTTATTTCCGCTTACGCGATGCTCTTTGATCAGGTCTCTTCGTACATTCTCTCTTCGTGTTTCCTTTTTTTCTTCCCCGGTTGTTCCTCTCTCGCTGCACCTTGTCGTTTGTTAAGAGCGATACAGCTCGAATCACTGTTCGCGTTTTAGCGTCGGGATTTTACGGTGGGCGCTGACTGTTTGATCTGTGACAGGTCTCAGCGTTTGTCGCTGCCTGAGGAAACGAACGTGGATCATCTGTGACTCGCTATCAGTTTGCCAGAGTCTTTTTAGTGTCACGTAATCGGTAGTAGACGAGTAGATTCTAAGTACTTGGGTATCGGGATAGTCGATTTTCGCTAGTACTTGTTTATGAACTCGATCCTGGATGGTCCAGGTACGCGATCGCGGGCTCAGAGACCTGGCTGCTGGATTTTCTCGTGGAGCTCGGAATTTTACGAGGATATTAGGTTTTTGAAAAGAGGCCAGCTCGCTCGATGCTAATTAGTTCATTGCTGGCCAATAAATAGGATCGACTTATTAATTGGCGATCCGACATTGAACTCGCCCATTCGAAATGAAGTAATCAGGTTCGAGAGGCAATTATCATCTACGCGAAGGAAGAACGAGCCAGATCCTTAAAGCGAAATTGGCTATTTTTAAAGATGTCCCTGCTGAAAGGACGATCTCGCTATCGGATTCCATTTTGCTCGAAGGTATGCCAAATGTTAAAGGGCGTAGGCGATATTTTCGGAGGCAGATTAACCCAACGACGTTAG